ATATATATATATATATATATATGCTGTAAAGATGCATGGTTTGTCCAGCTTCCAAACGTGTGCAAATACAGGGTGCGCCAGAACTCGCGCCCCAGAGAAAAATGCCATATAAGGTAAGATACCAGGAACATGTTAAACAAAAATGTTAAAAAACAAATATCTATAAAAATTTCGAAGTTATGAGGGTTTAAAGTTTGCACTTTGACTCTTATTTATTTCTGTTGGAAAAATAATTTTCCAAGTTTTTTTGTTACTGGCTATTAAAAGAGGAAACAAGGAAGCTGTATCCTAAATTGTAACTCTGATCAATGTTATTTGAGGCTTTTATTGGCAAAATTTTTGTCTCTTTAAACATTTTTTTCTTGTTCCTGGTATCTTACCTTACTTGAAAATTTTCTCTGGGTCGCGAGTTCTGGCGCATCTTGTATAGTCAACTCTCACTTGTTTCTTCAACAGTCCTCCGACTAATTTATAAGGATTAGGATGATGACTAGTAAAAATTGCCGAAAAAGCATGATGCCACGACTCCGCTGAATTGGTGGTACCTGGTAATTCTTCCAAAGTTATATTGTTGCAATTCCACATATCAATTTCAAACTTTGAGATTCTTCTAGGATATTGGCATCCTACCCACGTCGTCACAAAGTAATCGATAAATAAATCTATTAAATACTTCTGCTGAGGATCGCATCGAAGTTCGTATGGGCGCCGTTGGTGGCGTTAATGGCGTTGTTAATGGCGTTAACTCTAGCTTCTGGCATGGTTTCGTGGATTCTATCTGCCAACACCGCTACTTTATCCATTTTGATTGCGTCGCAAGGCTGGCTTGCATGTTTCTCGGCAGTCGTCCTGTCTACAAAGTTTTGAGGAATGACTCGTGCACATTTGCATGATTTTTTTCCAGCATAACTGTTTTTGCTTATTTGTTACTCCATCCGTTTGTTTATTTTCGATGACATATTTAATTTTATTAACTAGCGTTAACAAAAGATTTTTTTCTTCAAGAGAAAAATTGTTCGACCTTTGTCCGTTTATTTAAACCGGGGTTATCCACCTGAAATATACAATAAAGTTATTGCTAGAAACTACTTACTAAATTTATTAAACAAATAAGAGAGCACTTACCTTAACTTCCATTGAAATAATTATACAGGGTGTGTCAGAACTCGCGGCACCAAGGGAAAATTTCAAGTAAGATAAGACTAGATTTCTGGCTTTCCTCACTTCCTTTAGGTAACATTTGTTGCATAATTTGACTGAATCGTCACTAGACAGGGAAGTGAGGTGACTGACTTGGATTCAATGAACTTTATTATTAGCCCATAGTTCTGTTTAATGAAGATTAAACAGTTATTCCAGTGTTTATTTTTTTTTGTCAATTTTATAAATTATTTCACGTCTAAACCAAATATGTTAATTTAAACGTTGCGATTTTGCAGTTGAATAGGGAACATATTTCCCAATTACTTTAAACATCTTATTGTAGAAAATTTCGCATGCTGCTTCTGGGTCGGTGGTGTTTTCAAATGATGAAATAAATGACCAATCTACTTCAGCCAGAGCAAGATAAAGCGCTTCTAAATCCGCTTTACGGAAATTAAATTTTGGTGATGCATTGCTATTTATAAACGGAATACTTGAATTGCAATCACTATCCAAAAATGCACATACGCAAGGATGAAAAACTTTTATTTATTGAGTATCATAAATATTTCAGCATTTAATCCATTAAATTTACTTTTAGTTTAGATTAATTATCGATTTTATTTCCAGTTCTCATTCTAATAACACATTGTGTCACCAAAATGAAACGCTATGAAGAATTATCAAACAAAAAAATTGTGAAAATTTTGCAATCAGTTTCTGAAATAACAGCCTTATCAGTTCCTGATTTATTTAATTACAGTGGGTTATCAGTAATTTATATAATCTACTCTACCTCACTTGCTTTTGCTTTAGTGACATTAAGTGTTTATACTTTATATTTCAAAGGGATTTATATTTACAAAAATACACTTGCCACAGTTTCGATTTTAGATAGTGTCGCAATCGCATCAGTCACTATAACCAACGTATTGTCGATTTCATTTGCCATAATTTTTCGCAGGAGAAAAATTGTTTTACTGGTGAAAAACTTGAAAGAAATTGAACGAGTTTTAAATTCTCAAATCAACGATAAAGTTTTAATTATTGTCTTTGGATTATTGGAGATTTTTCTTTTTTCTTATATAGTATTTGAATCCGTATCGCAGATAAGGACACACGGAGTTTTTCTTTACAGTCTTTCTGTTGTGATGCATGTGAATATATTTTTGGTGTCAATAACAGTAACTCAAGTGCAACTTTTTTCAACGTGTGTTAAACAGTATTTTACTTTTGTTAACGAAAAATTAGCTACAACCATGCAATATCCACCAACTTCTAAAGTTGAAACAATTAAAATGAAGTTTTTTCTTAAAACTTATGACAAGTTGTGCGATATTATCGATTTGGTGAGCAGTTCATATGGAATACAAATAGCTTGTGTCACTTTCATTATTATAATTTGTTTAATTGAAAGTTTGAATCTTTTGATGAAGTTTGCACTACGTATTGAAGCCATAGGTGATGTTTGGCCGACAACTTTACTTATTTCTGATACCTGGAATTCCATCATTTATATTGTTAGTTGATTATTTTATTATGTTTATAATAATTTCAATATTTTCAGCTTTTTGGTATTATTTTATCGATTTGCTGTGAACGAGCATCAAATGAAGCTAACAATACGTCAGTACTTTCTTACAAGATTCTTTTAAATTATCCGTCATGCCCGAAATCACATAGTGATGAAATCAACAAGAATGAACTTATGCTTCTAGCAGAACATTTGAGTCAAAGAAAAGTTAAATTTTCAGCTGCTGGCCTTTTTGATGTTGACCATACAATGTTGTATATGATTTTTGGATCGATTGCTGCTTATCTAGTCATTGTTTTACAGTTTGAATAAATGAATCCTTTGAATTTAGTACTCGTTTTTCAATATATTATATTTAAAGTAGTCCAACTAAAATACACTCCCCACAAAAATTATCGCACCTCCCTCAGTTGTGATAAACCAAGCTATGATACTTATTGTTATGTAAGATGGGGTGTAACATATTACGAAAGAATAAATAAATAATTGAAAAACTTTGTGTTAAAATATTCTTCAACGGATTTTTAATAATGTAAAAAATTGGTTATGGACTATAACTAAATTAATAACGGGTCGATCCACCCCTGGCCTGAATAACAGCTTCCATCCTATACGACATGCTTTCAAAAAGATTCACAATGTATTCTTGTGGGATGTTATGCCATTCTTCCACAAGAACTGCTTCCAACTGTTGGACAGTTCTAAAAACTATTCTGCGCCCCAATACACGCTGTTGAAGGGTGTCCCATACATGCTCGATTGGATTTAAATCAAGACTAGGAGCTGGCCACCTCATAACAGGTGTCTCAGTTTCTCTGAGGTATTCTTGCACTATCCGGGCTATCTGCGGTCGAGCATTATCGTGCATATACACAAAATCTGGACCAAAAAATGAGCCATACGGGATAACATGAGGGTCTAGAATGTCTCTAATATAACGTACAGCCGTCATAGGAACTCCACGCATAGACACTAATTCTGTACGACCTTCCAGAGAGCTAGCATCCCAAACTATTACACCGAACTGTACATTATACTATACACCGGTATTCGTCTGTCATTTGCATAAAGACAAAATCTTGACTTGTCAGAGAACATAAAACATTTTGCCAATCTTCAATATTCCAGTTTAAATGTTCTCTAGCAAATGCTAAACGAGCTACACGATGTTCTCTAGTGAGTAGTGGTGCTCTTGCGGGGACACGAGCCCGAATATTGTCTTCGCAAAGACGGTTTCTCCCGTTTGCACAGAAATTTCCACATTTCGGGCAGCTAACATCTCTCTTTGAAGCAATCGAGCAGTGCAATGTCTAGTACGGAGCGCTGTTAGGCGTAAAAAGCGATCATCTCTCATGGATGTCACCCTTCGACGGCCTTGTCCTGGTCTTCTGTCAATACTCCCAGTCTTTGGGCCAGCCTAACAATGGTGCAATGGTTAACACCGAGGACTCTTGCCACATAACGCTGGCTACGACGTCCTGCAGTAAAGTAAGTGCCCGGATAGCTTCTTCGTGAGTCAAATGATAGCTAACACGTTGAGGAACATTCATCATGTCAAATTTATGTAGCACAGATGACACATCTAATGAACAATGCGATTTCAATTAAGCGGGAAAAAATTGGTATATGCAACTTTTTCACAGATTAGAGAAAAAGTCGTCAAAAAACTCTTATCGGTGGTAGTGTCCGCAGATAAATAAATACAAACTATTTCTACATGATGTTGACATAGTTTGTTGCCTTCATGTATATTTGTTTTGGAAAAATACCAATGTTTTAGGGTGGTGCGATAATTTTTGTGGGGAGTGTATGAATATTAACTAAAATTATAAAAATTATAACAATGCAGCTTAGGACAGAAGATGATCAGGCTGCAGTAAAATGCAAATTAGGGTTTCCTCGGTTAAAGATATTTCTTGCTTGCTTTTTCTCACTTTTCAAAACAGATGTGGGGTGTAAGTAGGTATAGCAATAAATATCTTATACCAAGGAAACTCTAATTTGTATTTTAGAGATTAATAAGTCTCGGACAACCTCATAGTTGGTTGTTGTCCAATATATTAGACATATTAGAAAAGTTGGTTGGTTTTTCTATTTCAGCTTTTGCGGGTTAAAGAAAATACACCAAATCTTATTCATTTTTGTGATTTTTAGGCGTGTTTTGACAAGATTTGTCAAAACAAATGAGTCTCTGGTTTAAAAAACATCTTAAGTGAGCGAAACAAGTTAATTTCTATCTATTTTACCTGTTTTATTGGCAAGACGTAGAAGAGGTGATAACAGCCTTCTATGCTACAAAAATTGTCTATTCGCCAATAAGACACCTCTTCCCTTTGCATCCAAGGATAATTTCCGTACAAGCGCAAGGCAGTTTTTTTTTTTGTAAGTTATAAGTTTTCGACATTTGGAATGCTTTACCAGCAGAAGTGATGATATCACTCAGTTTAAGGCCAAATACATTTCCTTTGATCACAATAATTGATGTAAGGAATGCATAATGTGTCGGCACCTTATCATTGTTAGCGCGGGTATAATAGGCTTTGGTTTCTGCCCGATCGCAACACGTTAATAATAATAATAATAATAATAATAATAATAATAATAATAATAATAATAATAATAATAATATGATAATTTTTCAGCCTGTTTAAACGTTTTTTTTGAATACAAAAAACACTATTTTTGTACTAATTTAAAATCGAGACGTTATATTTGCAAACGACGTGATCTTTGAAAGCGTCAACTTGACTGGTCAACCTCTAAAGTCTTGTCAATCCAAGTGAAAGTTTTAATGGATCGAGGCTTGGAAGTGTGTAATTGTAACTCGTTATAGCAATAAACGTTCTTCAAATCTTTTTCCAACACTATTATTGGATCAGAAATTTTACTAAATTCAGAAATTGCTATAAAGAAATTTGCCAAAATTGACAAAATGCCAAGATACGTGTATTTTATATTTACAGAGTGATCATTTAGGACTGTTTAAGTTCGCAATACATTTAAGAGTATTATTTTAATTTAACTATTTGCTACACTGCAACCGGATATGCTTTTGATGACGTTTAAAAAATTGCGAGTCAGATATGTACACGACACGACATTAAGAAATTGTAGGTTAAGAAATAGATTTCAAGTTGTCATTGCGCTGGTGCAAATGGCTGAAACGGTATAAATTGCATACAATTTACACTGCACACTGCACCTCAGCAGCGTACACATAATCTCCTATCTCTCTATTTCAATTCGTACCTACCCACAGCCCTCTACAGTAGAAGGCTAAGTCCTGCGATCTGGCAACCCTGTGCAGCTTGGAAAAAGAAGGCTGGTTGAGACTGAGCACTGATACAAATGACAAGTAATACAGAAATTAGAATGAAAAATGAAAATTTGAATTATTGAATTGTGTATTGAAACATTAAAGTGAAAAGGTACTTTGTGACGGGCTAAACAGCCCTTGGTGTTCTTTTTAATGCTGAAAAGTCTTTGATATTGTAAAGAGACCAAACCTATGAAGTTAAATTGCGGTCAATAACACGGACTCTTCGGAATTCATAACGTAAATACAATTAGAGCAGGCGACGAGTTTTTCGCGGAAGACTTAAAATCTTAAGTGCGTTTTATGATTCTTATGATTCACTAAATATTCGCGCTAGACTGTCCTTGCCCTGTGCACTGAAAAGAACCCATCGCAAGAGATGACGTGTTATTCGCCCTATAAAAAGGAAGCGCGAATATCGCTAAGAGATCAGTCAAAAATTAGTCGTCTAGTCGAATCAGACTAGTTGTGTCAATTGAAGAAGAAGCTGCCAAAACATCCTGTGCCATTATCTGAGGCCAGAAGCTATCAGCCCAAAGCAGCCTGATTGTTCTATTGCATAGTCATGAGCTGTAAGTTTTGATTTATTTTTCCTTTGACTGTTCACGTTGCTCCGACTTACAACTCGAACATAGTTTGTGCAATTTCCGTTTAAATGTAATAATGTCTCTTAAAACATTAATGCCTTTGTTGTTAGAAAATAGTTTCAGTTTTGTATTATGACTTTGATAAGGTCTAAAATAGGTATCCCCCATTTTAGACAATTGTTTCCGCTTAACATTTATATACCCTTTTTGTATTATTCACTTATATCGTGTTAACCATTTTTATTTTATTCCAAATGCATTAATTTAATAATTAAATGCACTTTTAATTGACTGCACCTTACTCTCCTGAAACCGATTGATCTCACGGGTTGGCTGAGGTCCTACGTTCAAAGAAATTTAATCGCTCTGGTTGGTGGGCCACCGCTCGCCTAAAATAAATGTAGGTTCAAAAAGATTTAAAAACTCAATAACCCGCCACAACTTACATACAAACTTTGATAAACTATAAATATCTATTTATTAAGTTTGGGTAGATGCTATCAAAGATAGTGTAATAAAACAATCAGATTACATTTGTAATGTGTTTAATTTTCTTCTTTTTACATTGTGTTGTTTAATTGAAGCTACAACATCATTTTTGTGATTAATAAAATTATTCAGCATTATGTTTGAAGAAGTAGGCAATAATAAATTAAGAACATCAAGTGTTGCAGCTTCACAAAAACAATAATCTTTTCTATAAGGCTCTAAACTTTCATGATTTAACATAGCTTTTCTTGTTAAATTAATAAGAATTTGTTTTTGATTGACTTGTTTTAGAAGTAGGTAATTGTTGCATTACTGAATACACAATGTGACCAACATTCATTGACACATTTGAAGGAACTGTTAAGCCACTTCTATTTATTTCTGAAAAGATTTTTTTCTCATCAGTCTCGCAGCTGGTGTCTTGTAACAAAGTTAGCGTCACTTACGATGTCATTTTGATTCCCCCTAAGATCCACCAAAACGGTTTTGAAAAATTCTCAATTACTTTTTCAGTTCTAGAGATATTGCTAATTGCAAGTTTTAAAATTGACACCCTGTATATTTTGACCATTGACTGAATTGGTAGCATATAAACTTTTAACCAGCTAATATTTTATTTAAGTTAACATTAGTCCGATCAGTATCCTTCAAATTATTTACTTCATTTTCTAACTCAACAAGGTTTTTCAAGCTTATAAAATTGTTCCGTACAGTCACTATCAGAAAGAATGACACCTTTATAAACCCGGTCGGCTAGCAAGGGGCTGAACTCAAACCGCAGCAATAAATCTTTTGGGTCATAAACATCAACAAACATTCCTTCGAAGGTTTCATCGGCTGGGAAGCATGCTGTTGTAATTGAGTAAATTAATAAATGTAATTAATTCACTAATTTCTCAAAATGAATAAAACTTTATTACGTAAATTAGACTAGGAATTATTTGATGTATCAACTTTTTAAGTAAAGTAAGATTTTAATTTTCTAATCAATATAAACACTTTCTATAGATTTCCAACGCAATAAAGTAATTATCTGTGTCGCCCATTAACTAAGAGTTGATTTACAGAAGGCGAATCAAGATTTAATAATTTGAATTGTTGTTGAAATTAGTAACAAATTAATATTTGATGACAATTATAAATGTTGTGAAAACGGGTTCTATAGGGGTTTTAATTTTATAATCAAAAAAATAGTAACGTCATCGACATCGGAATATTTTTAAAGGCTAAACGCCTTCGGTGCTGGCACTTTTCTTCATCCTGCATTATTATTATCATCACTATCAGTAAAATTGTTTAAGCAGAATATCGGGGGCTGTTACGCGCCGTGGGTGATTCATGCATCCTTGAAATGAGTAAAGAAAAAACGGATTAGAATGACGAATTTCTGTCAAATACGCAGATTTAGATATGGGATAGCATGCTATGTTATTTTAAAAAATAGTATATTAAAGAACAAGTTTTATAAGGGTTGATTTGGCGCACGAATCCCAAGTTAGAAAACGAGCCGTAGGCGAGTTTTCTATGGGATGAATGCGCCAATGCCATTATAAAACGAGTATTTTATGCTATTTTTTCTAATTTGCGCCCCCTTTTTTCTTATTTTAATTAAAAAAATATATATTTTTGTCGCCTAGAGAATTTGTTGGTTGGTAACACTCGGCGCCCACCTGTTTTTTTGAGTCATTTCTGCCGTCTGTCATTAAAAATAAAATTTACAAATTATTAGTTATTAATATTACAACATAGTAATAATAAATAAAATATGAGAAACAGAATTTAGTTTGCACTCCGCCCGAAATTCGCGAAATTGCCGAAGCAACAAGGCAAAAAGTCAAAAGCGGCATAGAAAAACTAAATAACCCTAAATTCATTAAAGCACAGTGTGCTTTTATAGAGCCATAAACGACTCCTACGGGAGACGTTAATAAACGTATTATAAACGCAAATTAGAAAAATATATTTATTTACTTCACTTTTCATTGAAAAATGTGAAATAAAAATTTTATAGAAATTAAATCGGACCTTATTTATTTTAAACAAATACAAATTAAGAAACTCTATTTAAAATAAATATTTTTAGTAAATATTCTCT